GACCCTGCACTTGGAATCAGTGAGACTGCTAAGCCCATCCATCTCTGTGTGCTTGTGTGGGATTTTGTTGGGCTTGCATGTGTCAGGTTGATGGGGGCCCTTTGTGTTGAGCATCAAATCAACCTGATTAAATGTCTTAGGGTCACTATTGCTGTGATAAAAACACCGTGACCAGAAGCAACCTGGAGAGGAAAGGGTTGATGACACTCACAGTTCCATGTCAAAAGCAGCAAGGACAGGAACCTGGAGGCAGGAGCTGATTCAGAGGCCAGAAAGGAGTGCTACTTACTGCTTTACTTAGTCTGCCTGCTTTCTTTATAGAGCCCAGGACTACTATCCTGGGGTGGCCCCATCCACAAGGGACAGGGTCCTTCCAAATTAATCACAGAGAAAATGCCCTACATGCTTGCCTGCAGCCCAATCTTTTTTTTTTGTTTTGTTTTTTGTTTTTGAGAACTCAGTCTGTAGACCAGGCTGGCCTCAAACTCACAGAGATCCGCCTGTCTGTGCCCGGATCCCCACCCCCTGAGTACTGTGATTAAAGACATTCACCTCCAGTGCCCGTCCTGCAACCCAATCTAATGGAGGCATTTTCTCAATTGAAGTTCCCTCCTCTCAGATGACTCTAGCCTATATCAAATTGACCAGCACAACTGACCCCTTGTCAACTTGACACACAGGTACTTTACTGTAAAGCCAGATCATTTCCTTTCTTATTCACCCCCGAGATCACACATTAATATTGACATTATAGCATAGAGCATCTTCCATACTTAAAAAGCCCCACATTCTTTAAAAATTCAAACACTTAAAAATTTAGTCTCTTTAAAATAGCCAGTCTCTTTTAAAATCCAGAGTCTTAAAATCCAATGTTTCCCAAATGTGGGCTCCTATAAATTAAAAAATAAGTTGAATACTCTTAATTCAAGAGGAAAGTACCAGGGCACAGTCACAATCTGAACAAAGCAAAACCAAGCTCCAACTGAATAACTCAAGTGTCCAATATCTGGGATCCAACTCACCATCTCCTGGGCTCCTCAACAGGGCTTCGGTCACTTCTCTGGCTCTGCTTTTGTCTTCCAAGCTCCAGCTTTTCACTGCTGCTACTGTTCTTGGTGGTCATCCCTTGGTACTGGCGTCTCCAAAATGCTGGATCTCCTGCTGCAAGTGGGCTGCACTTTCACCAATAGCCTTTCGTAGGCTCTCTTCATGGTGCCAAACTTCAACTTCTTTGCATGACCTCTTCAGTCTTGGACTTTAACTGACACTGAGGCTGTGCTTTTACCCATAGTCTATCCTGGCTTCTTGTAGTGCTAAGCCTCAGCTGCTCTCCATGACCCCTTCATACCTTCAAAACCAGTACCACCTGGGAGACTCCTATACTACCAAGTTTGGCTGCCAGCACAAGGTATAATCTTGGCCACCTCTGGAACACGGCCTCTGTGCTGACCCTGAGGAAACACTTCCCAGACTTCACCTCAGTGATGCTGGTCTCTTTTCAATCGCTGCTATAATATCTTCGCTCTATCTGACCAGTATCTATTTTCCTAACAAAGCAAGAGTTTTTCTTCAGTTGTTCTGGTCCTTGTTCGTCACAGCTGATCCCTCAACCCCAGCTAACCAGATTCTCAATTCACAATAGCAAACAGCCCCGACAGGGTCTTCAAGGACTCAAGCTTCTTCTGGAACTTCACAAGCCCGACCTCCATTGTCTGTACTGCTTTCAACGCTCTCATCTTCCAAGATCCTATACAACAGTCCACTGAGCTCTCAATTATCAATGGCTTTTCTAGTCCAAATTTCCAAAGTTCTTCCACAGTTCTTCCCAAAACATCATGGTTAGGTCTATCACAGCCATATCCCATGATCCTGGTACCAGTCTGTCTTAGAGTTACTGTTGCTGTGATAAAACACCATGACTAAATGCAACTTGCGGAAGAAAGTTTATTTCACTCACAGTTCCATATAACAGTTCATCGTCAAAAGTTGTGAGGGCAGGATCTCAGGTGGGGCAGGATCCTGGAGGCAGGGGCTGATGCAGAGGCCATGGAAGGGAGCTGCTTACTGGCTTTCTCCCCCTGGCTTGCTCAGCCTGCTCTTTGTGTATATAGCCAACACACTTTCAAGGTGAGATACAGAGTTATAAAAAAGAGCCATAAGAAGATAATCAGGGATACACAGAGAAACCCCCTGTCTTGAAAAGAGAGGAAAAAATGGAAGGTTTGTTTGCTGGGTAGTGGCAGCACACTAATCCCAGCATTCAGGAGGCATAGGCAGACGAATCTTTGTAATTTCAGACCAGCCTGATCTACAGTTAATTCCAGGTCAGTCAGGGCTATAATACAGAGAAACCCTGTCTCAAAAAGATTTTTAAAAAGCTGTAAGAAGTGTCGATAGAGGTACAAGTGTAATGGTCCAGCCCACAGCACAGCAACCAAAACAAGAAATAAGCAGAAAGTTAGAATGCCCGCTGTTTGTTCTGTGCATTCTCATTCCATATAATTCTAATGTGAATTGTAGATAGAATATGCTTCTAAAATAAAATAACCTTGAAGTTCTGAATTTACCCTTTCTAATAATGGGCACCATTTTTATTTTTAGTTGTGGTTAAAACCAGGTTCAAAAATTAACAGTAATAAAAAATTGTATGCTTTTTAAAAAAAATTTTTTTTGTAGCAGCTTTGCCTTTTTCATTATAACATCTTCCAAAAAAAGTTCCTGGACTTTAGTCTTTAGGATATTTGGTTCTGTGTTTATAAAGGAGGTTGAAGGGCTGCGGTGCTTCTCATTTTCTAGCATGCTCACCTAGATTTGCCTAGGGGTTGAAACTGGGGGTTCAGGCCACAACAGCACATAAACTGGACCATGTAACAAAACCACATATACCTTTAGGTTTAAAATATTTGACTAATTCAGACACTCCCCTGTTTTAAACTGGAATCTTAGCTCAAAGCAGACAGTTCATTAGTGAATAGATGTACAAAATGTATACCTTGGTCCTGAAAGTTTTGCTAAGATAATACCATAAATTCAAAGTTTTATGTGCCAGCTCTATACTTTCTGGTCATAAATCATAAGTTATTCTATGTAAATGTAAATAGTGGTTAGTACAATACCTGTCACACTGTGGGCATTCCATAAACTGACTGGCTTTAAATTGTTCTATATTGGGAAACTTTCCCTATTACTTTAAATAAAAAAGTAGCTTTCAGAAAATACTAGTCTGTTTTCTGGTTAAATTATCTGACGTATTTGATACACAAGCCTAATAGCCTTGTTAATCTTGGATATTTTCTCATAGACTTGCTGTAAAAGTGAACAAACAACCCCTTGCCACTTGTGTGAAGTGGCCATTTAACCGTGAAATCAACTGTGTTTATTGCTACTGCCCTGTGGGCATGTTCTTTCTGGCAGTGGGGTCCATATTTGGTGGCTCTGCATGGAGAGCCAGGTGGTGCTGCAAAGCATCGCACAGTGAAGCGTGGCTAGCTCCAGATTTGACATTTGTCATTCCTCACCGCTGAAGGGAAGGGAGAAAATCTGTTTTTCCATATGTTTATGCTTTTTTTTCTTGCCCGCAGTTTTGTCCAGATGGTCTTATGAACATTGTTTACTTTGGGATGTCATCCCAGATGTTTTAAAAAGTGATGGATGAATAAGGTACAGAGATACACAAAGTATATCAAAACAATTTTAATGTTAATTATTTCTAGGACTATTTTTTTCCAAGTGGATTTGTGTCTTTATCTATAGTGACTTTCTGTAGCTTATTTCTCCCAACCATTCAGTTTTTTGTGTAGTTCAGTTGATAGAGTGCTTGACTAGGACACAAGAGTCCTTGGTTCAGTCCCCAACACTTAATAAAACCCGACTTGTTGATAATTGTCTGTAATCATGTAGACTGGAGGGGGGGGCAGGAGACTCGAACCCAGGGAAGCTGTGTGAGTCCTTGTCTCAGATATGTTACATATCAGAACAGCACTTACTAAGAATGTTAAAGGAAGGAGGGTCTTTTGAGGATTCATTTGTTCAGAGCTGTATACACCCAGATCTGTAAGAAGCTTAGCCTACTGTCTTTTGTAGTTACTTTCATAGAACATGAGTCGTTGGAAGGAATTTAGATTGTAAGGTGATGGATTTATAATTGGAATTACTCTTATGATGTCCTTGAGCAGGTCACTTAACCTGTCTGGTACAGTGCTGGGATTAAAGGCATGTGCCATCACACCTGACATAAAGGCATTTTCTTAGTGGCATAGCCACTTGTAAGGAGCCATTGCTTTTGTAAATGGTCCCTCACCTGGGATCTTACATGAAACACTAAAAAATGGATCACCAAAACACCATCACCGACAGCATAACAACCATGGGACCTAGAAATGGGATTATCTGGGAAGCAGGGATCAGTAAAAGTAGATGTAGAACAAGAATATAATAAAGGAGGTAAGTAGTGCAAAAACATATTAGTTGCATGAAAATGTCACAATGAAATCCATTATCATATAAAATTAATATATGTGAATAAAAGAAAGAAGAATCCATTTTCAGTGACTATCTGCAAGATCAGACAACAACTCTAGTAGAAATCCAGCCTTTTGTTTGTTTTTTTTTTGTTTCGAGACAGGGTTTCTCTAGCTTTGGAGGCTGGCCTGGAACTCACTCTGTAAATCATGCCTCTGCCTCCTGAGTGCTGGGATTAAAGGCATGCACCACAACCGCCTGGCAAATGAATTTATTTATTTATTTATTTATTTTCGGTTTTTCGAAACAAGGTTTCTCTGCGTAGCTGTAATATGATGTAAGGGTACAGACAGCTATATTAAAATGAGTTCAATTCAATAACAATAAAATATAAAACCAAAGATACAGTGTTTGTGGTCTTATCCTTCAGGAACACTGATTCAAAGATTCAGTCTTATTTGATTTCAAATGATATATTTAAATCGTCAAGTGACACATTTTACATGTCATGTAAGTTTTCTGTAACTTATGTTTCACAGGTGCATTTTCTAAAGTCATAAAACTTAGTGAAGAAAAACGTGAAACGGGTGAAATAAAGAAGGGAAGAAAAGGCAGCTGTGTGCCATCTGTTAAAGGAATTACAAATTTAGGAAATACTTGCTTTTTTAATGCAGTCATTCAGGTAAGTTATCAGAATGATTTATAAACTGTAAACAGTTATTTGAACAAGTTAATATGAGCATAGGTGCACCTGTAGTGTAGACTGCCCAATGACTGTGAAATGTTATTCTAGAAAGTCCTTTTTGTTTTTCTTTGTTTGGGTAGTTGTTGGTCATTATCATATGTGTACTCAACAGTGCTACTAGGAAACCTGTTTTATAGTTTCATTAGTCATACTGGCAGAAAATGTGAAGTGTAGTCAGTTACGTCTTTTAAGATTTTCAGTAGACATATTTTGCTGTGTTGGATGACTTTGGGAGCTTTGAGAGCACTGACGTCATCACACTAGAACCATACTAACAGCACTGACGTCATCGTGTCAGAACCACACTAACCAAACAGAGAGCACTGACGTCATCATGTCAGATCCACATTAACTGAACAAAGCACTGACGTCATCATGTCAGATATGCACTAACTGGATGGATGCTTGACTCTGTTGTTTAGAACTTGGCGCAGACTCACGTTCTCTTTGAGCTGATGAATGAGATAAAAGAGGACGGCACCAAACTCAAGATTTCTCTTTCGTCAGCTCCGCAGCTGGTGAGTAGCAAGTACAACAGCCACAGAAACATCATAACCTGTTTCCAAAATATTTCCTTTCTGTTTCCCTAAGTACCAAATGGGACTGTAGTCTGAGAGCTTTAAAACATAATTCAAAAGTACCTTGTAAAAATAAATAATCAGGTAAAATTTTCAGAAATTGTAGTGGTTAAGTATGCTATGGTTCAGAAACATTATAGGTCAAAAAAATTTTAAAAATTAGGGTATTTTTATTTACACATTCTGGAAAAAAACAGGGGTCAAAACTTTTATTGACCAAAATGTCTAGGACTCTTGTAGTTAACAGTGACTTTTTTTTTTAATTTAGGGTTTGTGGTTGTTGCTGTTCTTTAAAGTTGGATTTAAATATTTAATATCTGAAGGTTTAATTTCTTGGGTTTGTTTTTTTGAGACCAGGGTATCACTGTGTAGCCCTGGCTTTTCTGTAGATCAGGATGGCCTTGAACTCAGAAATCTGCCTCCTGAATGTTGGGATTAAAGGTGTGTGGCATCACTGCCCTGCTGGTTTAAAGTATTTTTTTTTAAGTATGTATACAGTATTCTGCCAGCATATATGCCTACAAATCAGAAAAGGGCACCAGATCTCATTAGAAGTGGTTTTGAGCCACCATGTAGTTGCTGGGAATTGAACTCAGAACCTGTGAGCCACCTCTCCAGCTCCTTGGTTTAAAGTATTTTTATTAATAGTTTATTGATTTTGTGTGTATGTGCATGTGTGACATGATACAGATGTGGGGTCAGAGGACAACTTGTACAGTTTACTTCTCTCCAGCGTTCAATCCTGGGGATTGAACCCGGGTCGTTGTGCTTGGCGGCAATTTCCTCTCCCCGCCAAGCAGCCATCTCACAGGCTCTTCAGATAAAGGTTGTTGAAGTCTAGTCTAATGTTGGAATTGTAAGCTAATGAGAAAGAAAGACAGTAACAGAAGAGCAATCGCTAACAGTCAGAAGCTGGCCTATAACATCCAAAGCCAGGCCATATTCCTCAATCTCACAGTAAGGCAACCTCAGGCTAGGGCCCCAAGCCTGGGACAAAATAAGAACAAAATAAGGTGGTTTTGTAATTTATCTAAACACGGGTGAAACAAGTTTGCCATTTAGAAAACCCAACGCCCCTGTTGGCTGACATAAGAGTGAATCACCAACACTTTAGCAAGCTTAACATTGGTCTTCTCTGCCCTCTCCATAGATTAGACTTGTTGAGGTAGTCTGGTAGAATTACCTGTCAACTGATGGCTTGTGTCTAGAGTAAATCCTCTTTCTTTAGATTTTATGCCAGATTACTCAACCAAAGTCCAAATTTTGTAGGCTCTTATATCACCCCCTTACTGAGACACTCAGCGTTCCCCAAGAATGTACCTTCTACCTCATAGAAACAAGTAGTTAGCTTACTTTATTTAGTTGTGTGTGTATTTTGGATGGACTTTTGCTGGAATGGACTGCCACTAGTAACTGATAATAGTTATTGAGAGCTAAGGTAGTATTTGTGCTTGTAGTCCTAGCCAATTGAATGGGAGGCTGAAGCAAAGGTTTGATCCCAGTAGTTCAAGGCAGCCTAGGCAACATGGTGAGACCCTTATGTTTATTTAAAAAAAAAGAAAAAGAAAAAGAAAAGATATAGGGTGTGATTGCTCATGTATGGGAGTCTGATACTTTGCAGGCTGAGGTACAGGGAATGCTTGGGAGGTAGGCAAGACTGTCAAAGCCAATTTAAAACAAAACAAAACAGGGCTGGGTGTATAGCTCAAAGGTGAGTGCTTAGCGTACGTTCAGCCAAATAAAGTTTTGTATGTATGTGAACATGGTGCAGATACATTAGCAGACAAAGTGTGATTTAGGATCTGGCTTTTGAGAGCGGTTAAAAAAGAGTGTCCATGCAATGATCTGGATTACACTTCCCTAGAGGCCACCAAAAAGAGTGCCCACACAGTGATCTGAATCACACTTCCCTGGAGGCCACAAAAAAGAGTGTCCATGCAGTGCTCTGGATCACACCTCCCTGGAGGCCCAGAAGAATTAGCAAGGAAGCAAAGTTTGGTGGGGAAAAAAGTCCCTAGCACAATTGTTACTTTATTGAGCTTTATATCTCCTTTAAAAAAAGATGTAGGGCCTAGGCCCTATCCCAAAGGATACAATAGACACTCATGACACCCTATGGAAGGCCTCACCATGCAGGGGGAGCAGAAAAGATATGTGATAGATAGGGTTTTAGTTGGGGGGGGGGCGGTAAGGGAGGACAGGTGGGAGAAGGGAACTGGGATTGTCATGTAAAACAATGCTGTTTCTAATTCAAATAAAAAAGTTGGAAAAAAAAGTAAAAATAAAAGAAGATGTAACATATCAAGCCTGTTACGTAATTCCCCATTCCTTCATTTATTAGTGGAAAGTTTGGGGAAAAGTAAGTGAACTTAAAAAAAATGAAATAAAAGGAGGACACGACTACTCCTAAAGTATGGAGACGGATTTTGTTATAGATTTAGGGAGAATGCAGGCAGAGTCCAGCCTGAACATGGCCAACAGACTAAACCAGACCATGAGAGGAGAGAGGAGGGGAGGAGCCAGCCCCCCTGGGCAGCAGCTGATAAGGTGACCTAGCCAAGAAGCCAAGAGACCAGTGGAGCAAAAATGGCTGAGTTAAGATAGAGATCAAGCTGGGGGAAAGGGAAGCAGAAGCCCAGCCCCTGGAAGGGAGAGGTTTAGGGTAGGGGGTGGGAGGAGAAGTGCCCAGAGGAGCCAAGCTACTGAGTGAGGCTGGGAGAGCTGGGAGAAGCCACAGTGATGATGGAAGGGCTGGCTGATATATTAATAGGCACCTCAGCCATTTGTTCCTAACAAATGAGACCCAACAGTAAGGTGAAGTTCTGGTATATAATTTGTGTTTATTTGTGAATTTGTACAAATACCAAGTAGATTTATAATCTTGATTACAGACAAGCATGTCAAGAGACAGGTTGAATCAACAGAAGGTTGGTGATTTCACTCAGGCTTGTGGTTTCAGCAAGTAAAAGGCAGAAGATATTGAAAATCCTGTGTTTTTTTTTAAAGCAAGGCATTGTTATCAGCCTGGGGCGGGGGTCACAATTTGTGCCCAAAGTCAGGTCCATCCAGTTGCCCTCCTCAATACACCAACTTTTAAAAACGCAAATGAAAAGTGGAAAGCAGAAAATAAGAGAATTATTCAATGTGACCACATTTGAGGGAGGGACAGAAGAGATCCAGCAAACCCTTAAGTCCATCCTTGGGGTCCTGAAGTGAGAAAGTTTAACAGAAAACCTAGGACATACAAAGGTTTCAGTCTCATCCTGTAAAGTGGTCTGGCAAGGGATTAGAACTGTTGGAAATCAAGCTCCCCCCTCTGTCTGGCACCATTCCTATCTCCCAGCATGAGATTCCTGGGGAAAGTCTCTGTTCTTTGGGGTCCATTGTTCCAACTGCAGTATAGTCAGATTGAGTTACTCAATTGAGTGACTCAAGTCTCTTTACAATACCTGCATTTCTGCTAGGCCAGTTACAGCATTTAATCCTGTTTTCTATTTTTAAATATTTTATATGGGAAGGACTTAAAATGGATACACTTGAGATAGTTTAGTTACTATCATTTAAATAAGGTATAGCTTTAAGATTCTTGATAATATTTTGTAAAATTATATATGTCTGACATAGCATTGATCATGTTTTCAAAGGATCCGTTAGTGGTGGAACTTTCAAGCCCTGGACCATTGACTTCAGCCTTGTTCCTGTTTCTTCACAGCATGAAAGAGGCTGAAAAAGGACCACTTTCTCCTAAAGTTCTTTTCAACCAGCTTTGCCAGAAGTGAGAATGTCTGTATTCTTTTTTTTTTTTTAATTATTATTATTATTATTATTATTATTAATTCAAGTTAGGGAACAGGCTTGTTTCACATGTACTTCCCCTCTCCCTCTCCCTCCCTTCACCCCCATTCCTTCTCCCCCACCTCCAACCTACCCCCCCCCCCATCCACCCACCACTCCCCAGGCAGGGTAGGGCCCCCAACCGGGGCTCCACCAAGTTCACCAAATCTTCCTGTGCTGGGCCTAAGCCCCTCCCCATGTGTCCAGAGACAGAGTGCATCCCTTCAAGTGGGATGGGCTCTCAAATTCC